CCCCTGGTGACGCAGCACACGACTTCAATGAATCATGTCTTGCTTGCGCAAGTCATCGATAGATATCCGTTCTAACAAGCCGCAGATGGAAGGTCCTTGTGTCATCTCCTATTGGTGGGTACTCGATCTGCGGATGTTGCGTAAACACCGAGCAAAGGTATAGTCTACGTGACTGCAGCTTTTGAGGCTGCAGCCACGTAGAAAAATCACCAGCCACATAGAAATCAGCAGCGGCCGTCAGTTTACTGCAGTGTCAGGATTTCCCATCGAATCTGTCGCCTCTACACAAGTCAGGAGTAGCCGGAACCAAGACACATGTAGCCACAATCTTGTTTTGAAAAAGGAAACGGTATCTCTTTCCAGCACCCACATCTATCCTGTCATATCCTTCTCTCGGTGCAGAAGTATGTGCTGCCAATTGGGCAATACAAATGATGTACGAGTCGACATCATTCGTACATGCGTGCATTTCGCTGACACCAGTACCACGTACACACAAAACTTCGTTGTGCTGACTACAGGTCTCCGCGACGTCACACGGACAAGCCGTTGCTGGAACACGCGTGCAGCAAAGTCTATTTTGTTTCTTCTACATTGGTAGGGCAAGACAACATCAAGCATGCGTACAAGCGTTTGTACAACGAAGGATCAGATATCGATGAGTCCGAGCTTGGCGTTACTTCACGTTTACCCGTGCTCTACCTCCGCATCAGATTCGATCCACGTAACCAGACGGTATTCCGTGGCTTCTGATGACAAAAACGCTGGTGACGACGGTGCATTGAAAGGTCGTGCTTGCACGCTCCATTAGCAGAGGGACCTGCCATCGAATGCACGACACTCGTGCGACGATTCGAAGTTGCGCATCGAAAAAAAGAGAGCTTGGAAACATCCGCCACGTGTCGCACGAGCTTGCGAGCTCATTGGGTCTCGGACAGACAACAGAGAAAGGACAACGAAACATGACGACCACATGAACATGACGACTCGTTAGGTGCACATTTCGGCGAATCAGTCGTGAGCGAGGTAAAGTATCGTGCCTTGGCACTGGCTTTTTTCATGAAAAAAACGCCTTCGTTTCTACTTTATTTCTAAGAACGTCGTCAATCGCAGTTGTCCAATCAAAAGAAAGACGACACAGCGAGGCCACAGCGGCAGGAGAATCAGGCACATATTGAGTCGTCGTCGCCTGTCCCGATAAGTGTCCTGCAGTGCGGTTGTCACAACAGCGTGAGGCCAGCTGAGTTAGGAGAAAGTTTTGCTCATGTGGGCAGGTCAGCGTTTGCGACACATCGTTCGCTGATAGGATCCGTCGGCGCAAAGATCTTGCAGCACTTCCATGGTCTCGCCATATCGTTTCGTCTTCCCTGCAAGTCGTGGGCTCTACAAAACCGGATGCGGTCATGGTATCAGATTTAGCGTCGCAGGAGGGAAGAGGGACGGCCGCCGCTGTCGCATAATGGTAAGCAGACAGTAGAGACATCCGGCCTAGAGGCGGACGGAGCTGGTCCGTCGACTGGCTCACTGGCAGACTGGGCGATCGACACGCACAGTACACCCCATGTCACGCATCGCTGCCGCTCGATGGAGACGAATCCAGAACATCACCGCCAGCATCGTGCGTGCAACTGTTCGAGAGCTGCTGCTGATCGATCGATCGAACCGACTCCTCCTCTGGCCACGGACGGGCACGTCCAGCCGCAGCAACCCATTGTGGATCGCCTGACGCCTTTTTTTGCGCATGCCACGCGCCGTGAAGCGGCTGAGCCCGGCAGCTTGTTTGGTACCTGTCTCGTCTGCAACCGGTCTTGCCAGCTCCGTTGTCCGTTGAGGGTCGTTTCGCGCGCTCCCTCTCTCTCTCTCTCTTTTTTCTTTCCACTCTTTCTCTCTCTTTTTCCCTCTCTTTCCACCGCTGCCGCCCTCGGTCTACAATCGGTGCCAAAACGTGCACCGCCATCTCGTCCCATCGAGTCAGTCCGTCCGTCGGTCCCACACAGTCAATCGGACTCGCATCCCACGACTGCTCTCCTGTGCGCGCCCACTATAAGACACTCACTCACTCACTCACTCACTCAGCCGCATACACACACACACACACACATACACACACACAGAGACATAGAGCAAAGCCACTGCTGCCGACAGACGTACCGACTGACCGATAGACCGACTGACCGACTGACGTACCGATCGACAGCAGCCGCTCGGACCGCACAATGCGCAGCGACTTTATCGGCGGCGCCATTGCCATTCTCTCGGCGTTCCTCTCGATCTTTGGCGTGAACCTGCAAAAGTACTCGCACGACAAAGAAGAGCTCCGCGCCGTCCCGCGGCCCTACACGATGCGGCCCATCTGGTGGGTCGGTATGGTCTGCGTCGTCGCCGCGTCGCTCGGGGACTTTCTCGCGCTCGGGTTTGCGCCCCAGACGCTCGTGGCGTCGCTCGGGGGCGGCTCGACGATCTTGGGCAACTGCCTCATGTCGCACTTTTGGCTCCAGCAGAGCCTCTACGTGACGGACATTGTCGGCGTTGCGGTCGTGTCGCTCGGCGTTGTAGTGCTCGCGGCCGCCAGCGAAGGCGACGCGGGCCACTACGAGATGGAGCAGATCTACGAGCTCATGGCGGCCGCGCCGTTCATTCTCTACGCGCTCATTACGACGGCGTTCACCATGACGCTGTACATGCGCGCGCGGCGGTCGAAAGCGCCGGCGCTGCGCGTCGCGAGCACGGACAAGGACGACGCGCGGGTGGACGACGTGCAGGAGAAGAAGCGGCAGCTCGCAGCGGCCTCGAGCCGTCGCGACGCGGCCAATCAGACGACGACAAGAGCGACAACGACTGAGCCGAAACCAGCGCTGGTCGACGACGCGGTGGCGCTCGAGGAGACGAAACCGATGCGCCGCGGGGCGTTCATGTCGCCGTTCCCGTCGCCAATCTTTGGGGACCACTTGTCGCTCTCGCCCATGGGCACGCACCGCCTCGGGAGCGACGAGGACGACCACTTGGAAGAGATAGAGCTGTCGAGCTGCAAAGTGGGCAAGTACGACGAGAGTGAGATTGAGAAGCAGACGCTGATCATTGACCCCAAGTTGCCGCTCTACTGGGCCGCGATCTCGGGCACGATTGGCGGCCAGTCGGTGTTGCTGGCCAAGTGCGTCGTGGAGCTCATTTCGTCGACCGTGTCGGGCGACAACCAGTTTCTGTACTTTGGCACGTACGTGCTGTGTCTCGGCATGGCGGCCACGCTGTTGACGCAGACGCACACGCTCAATCTCGCGACCATGACGGGGGACACCATGTCGTCGTACCCGGTGTTCCAGGGCTTTTGGATCACCATGAGCAACATCAGCGGCGTCGTCTTTTTCCAGCAGGCGCACAGCTTTACCAAGACGCAGTGGATCATGTTCCCGACTGCTATTGCACTGGTGGCCCTGGGCATCTACCTGGTCTCGAAGCACGAGAAGTTTGGCCATCTCGTCAAGTACTCGATCGCGATGCCCATCAGCCTTAGCAGTCCCCGTCAGCACGACATTGTGGCGCAGTCGTTTGTCTTTCGCGTGTCGACGCCGCAGAAACTGCACGAAGACGACTATGCGAGCAGCACGGAAAGCAGCAGCCCGGACGAGCACTCGAGACGGGCGTTGGAAGTAGTATAAGCGCAGCAAAGTGGCGCGTCTATTGTTTGGCACGTAATGAGACCCGGAAGAAGAAGGGGGTGAAGTTTCTACTTGTTGGACGGAGAGTGCGTTGCATTTGCTCGAGTGGCTCGTCGTCGGAGCGTGCGCGAGTGAAGGCGTCACGGATTGTTGATCAATGCGTTCTGCGCGGTAAAAAAGCTGCATAGGCTGCAGTGCTTGTGCTGATTCGTTCGCGTCTCTGCTGTCGCACACAGGTCGGAGCTTTGTGCTTGAGCGCTCCAGCGTAGCAGTTCAGTCCCACTCGGCAGGCAGTAGGACACACGATGGGCAATGCATCGCACGAGGGTCTCGTTGCCGCGCACTTTGTAGCTGGGTGGGTCGTTGCTGTGGACAGGATGCACTTTGCCTGCTCGGCCGACTGCATCCTGTTGGACACCTGCGTCGTGCCGTCGTCCCGTTAGATAGTAAGAGTGGGGCGAAACGGTGCGCCTTCAGCACACGAGTACGACATGCACCAGTCTCGTGATGCATGGAGAGAACTTCTGTGCGTTCATTAGCATGCCAAGTGCTCGAGCGTGGCTTTGCTCAGGGCAGTGCCAGTCTGCGTGGTCGTAAGAACTGGCGTGGCCAGGAGACCACTGACGCCTGTATGGGCCCACAGCGTATTCATTTGGTCCCTAAGGCAGCAACGTCAAAGCCTACATCACCTGATCGCTGGACGCGTGGGCATGCAACGTCGTCAGCTGCTTTCGTTCTCTATCGAACGATGGAGGACGGACTCGCGTTGTCTGTTGGTACAGGTGCTACTGGGTGACTCCGTTGACGTTCCGGACCGGTCGCTGCAACTGTACCCTTCCATGCTACGTCCTCTCTACGTCCGGCTTTGTTGATTTTCTGCACGGCTCTTTGCAGATAGATGCTCCGCTTCTTGTCCCGTGCACCTCTTCGTGGCTGACCACACGGATTACGCCCGACGGTCGACACAGTCTGTTGTCCAGGTCTTCGTCCCATCTGTCGTGTAGATAAAAACACACATAGTCGCTTGTCAGATGATGTCGTGGGGGTGTGCAGCCTCATCGGCTCTGCCTGTTCGTCTGTGTCCTTGTCGGAGCTCTACGCAAAAGGTCCGATCGCTTGTGCAGCTGCTTTGCTTCGTCGATCATTATCGTGTCTGCTTTTTCATCTACGCCTTTGCCAGGCGCCAGCAGAGTGGCAAGTGCCTTGACGCCTGACTGCCGTACTCAGGCCGACCGACAAGTGGGTACACACTACAACTGCATGACCTTCGCCCGCGACGATTCAAACGTTGTTTGCTTTGTCGCTCGTGAATATAAACAGGAGCTATGGCACTTGCTTCCCTACTCAACCCGAGCGCTGCCTCTTTGTCGAAGACGACGACGCCGACTTGGACGAGCTACTGCGCTTCTTGCTCGAGCTCGACGTCTTGCTATGGCTGCTACTGCTCGTGGTCTTGCTCTTGGACTTGGAGCGCGAAGAGCTACTCTTCTTCGCCTTCTTGGCAAGATCGTCCTCGTCCTTGCTATTGCGGCTCTTGAGCTCGTCGTTCTCGCGCTCAACCATGCGCGTCAACACCTCGCCGCGCTTCTGAAGCTCAGCAATGGTGCGCGACTTGAAGAACCAGTCGAAACGGAATTGCCACGCCTTACGAATCTCATCCCGGATCTCGCCCCAATGCTCCAACGGACCGTACTTGTTCATCATGACCACGAGAAACACGTCTTCTTCCAGGATGTAGCCTTTGCTCTTATAGCCGGCCGGGTAGTGCAATCGCATGTCACGCAATGGGTGGCTGTATCGGCTGCACTTGCGCGCTAACGCCTGCTTCACCACTTCGTTGCGCTCCAGACGCTTCTCGCCTCGCTCAATCTTCTCCACATACTTTGCGTGGTCCTTCAGCTCCGTAAAGCGAGACCAAAACGTATCGTAGTACCGTTCCACCTGTGCAGGATCCTTGCCAAGAACTGCCGAGACCTCCTCACATACGCGCGTCTTGTCAGCGCGACCGTAACGCTCACAGCTAGTGATAAACTGCTTCAGATCCCGTCGTGTCCAGTCGCCAAAGCCTTCCTTTTCGAGAGCCCCTAGCTCCTTTGCATCCGCGGCGTCCATTTCCGTCTCGTTCAGCTCCTTCTCAAGAGCAGTAGAACGTGCGTCGTCGCCTCCCTCTTCCTCTGCTGAGTTTTCCACGGACTCTTCACCCTCAGCAGTCTTCGGCTTTCGCGCTTTGGCACGACTCTCGTCAGCTTTGGCTTCCTTTATGAGTCGAGTAAGTTCCTTCCGGCGGTTCTCAACTTGAGTCTTCTTTGTGAGCAATGCCACCATGCGTTCCTGCTGGAAAAACTGATAGTCATGCACAACGGGGACCTTTGCAGCGTCTGAGCCAGACTTCTTAGGCTTCTTGGGCTTCGATAGACCCGCTTGCTGACGATAATACTCGTCTTCGTTGTAGTTGGACTTGCGCTCGCGCTGAGGAAGAGCAATGAACGTCGATGGTAAAACGTCTCCACTGTTCGAGTCCTTCAGAAACACCTCTCCCTCGAACTCATACAGGCTTGAGGCGTTGGCATTGCCGTTGTCACCCGACAATGAGAAATTCGCCAGATTGTGCTGCATGTCAGCCGCAATTTTGCCTTTCATGGACTCAGTGCGTTCTTCACCACGAGCCAGAATAGCGTCGATGTCGTCGTCGGTGATCATCGATCCTCGAGCGTTGAAGATTTCGTCGGCACCAAAGCGCACCATCGTCATCAGCTCGTCTTTCGACAGCTTCCGATTTTGTTGGGCGAGTCGACCCTGCTGAATGATAGCAGCGTCAAGGTACAGCTTGCGCTCTGCACGCTCCACGATTTTCTCTTCGACTGTCCCATCCGTGATGAAACGAAACACGCGCACAATCTTCGTCTGTCCGATACGATGCGCGCGATCCATGGCTTGCAAGTCCACCTGAGGGTTCCAGTCCGAGTCGAATAGAATCACGATATCAGCCGTGGCCAAGTTGATACCGAGACCGCCAGCACGTGTGCTCAGCAAGAAGCAGAACTTAGTACTCCCCGGGGCGTTAAACTCCTCCATCATGCTGTCACGGTCTTCGCCTTTCGTCGATCCATCCAGTCGACAATAGTCGTGACTAAAGTAACGCATGTAATCTTCCAGGATATCCATCATAGACGTCATCTGGCAGAAAATCAGCACACGAGAACCTTGCGCCCGAAGCTTCGGCAAGAGTTTGTGCAACAAAGTCATTTTACCACAGTTCTCCCACAGATGAGGTCCCTCCTGGTACGGCGGACCAGGCTCCGCGCCCTCAAACAAGTACGGGTGGTTGCATACCTTACGCAACTGCATCAGAATGTTCAGCAAACGCACGCGGTCACTGCCACCAATAGCATTCAAATGCGTCGCATCACGATGAAGCACGTGCATGTACCACTCACGTTGCATTTCAGACAAACCAACATAAAGCTTGGTCTCAATTTTCGGCGGCAATGAATGCTCCACGTCTGCCTTCAATCGACGCAGTAAGAAAGGACGCAATATCGTGTGCAGCTTCTTGATCACGTTTTCCTGTCCTTCTTCTTCGTCCACATTAAACCACGAGTCAAAGTCTTCGGCGTCTGAGAAAATGTCCGGCAGCAAGAAGTTCAGCAGCGCCCACAGTTCATGCAAATTATTCTGCAGTGGCGTGCCCGTAATCAGTAGTCGGTGCTCAACCTTGAACTCACGCACAACACGCGAAAGCTTCGAGTTCTCATTCTTTACTCGATGCGCTTCGTCAATCAGCAAGTACTTCCACTTGATCTTCTGCAATATAGCTTTCTCAATAATCGCCACTTCGTATGACAACACCAACGCGTCAAAGTCCCGCTTCACCACCGTCTCTCGCTGCAGCGCCCGCTCGTCTTTGCTACCCATGAACTTAAACGCGTTGATCGACGGACACCATCGCTTGAGCTCCTTCATCCAATTGCCGACCGTGCTTTTCGGCACAATAATGATATGAGGTCCTTCAATCCCTCGTGCTTCTCTCAAGTACGCGAGCAACGAGATGCTCTGCAACGTCTTGCCTAGCCCCATTTCATCGGCCAAGATGCCATTCACGCCCGAGTCATGAAGACGAATCATCCAGTTGAGACCTTCGAGCTGATACGGTTTCATTGTGCCAAAGCGTATACTCGACGGCTGCTGCGTGATACGCGTATACCGCGCATCGTCCATGTCCTGTAGCGCTTGTGCGTCTGCCTGTTTACTGCTTTTGCCACGTTTCGAGCCAGCGTCTTTGGCCGCTGCTTTCTTGCTGCGGGACATCTCTTTGCCGACAGCGCTGCTGCCGCCCATGAGGAACGACGTAAACACGTCGGACTGAGCCATGAGAAACGCCATTTTCTTCTCTCGCGCCGACTTGGCGCTCCACTCAGCGTCCTGCGTCAGGTTCTGCTTGACGAGGTCCAGCGACTTGAGCTGCCGGTCGCGCTGGTCGTGCAAAACCTGCTCTTCCTCTCGACGTAGCGCCTCGCGCTCGGCAGTCGACAAGAGCGGCGTCTTCGGCGCGTCGGGCGATCCACTCGACGGCTTCTTCTTGTGCAGCTGTTTGGCCGCTGTATCGGTTGGACTGTCCCCTGTACGCGCGCTGGTGGACTCCCTCAAGCACGAAACAGCGGCATCGTTTGCGTTCGTCGCGTCGTTCTGTGGACTGCCACGGGGAGAGGAGAGAGACGGCGCAGCAGGAGACGCGATGCTGCTGGCAATGGGACTCGCACTGCCGCTACTGGGGCTCGAGCACGCGCTGCTGCTGCTACTGCTGCGACTGCTGCTGGATCCGGCCATGGCCTTGGACGACGAGGGGTGCGTGGCCTGCGCGCGTTGGACGAGAGGTGTGAGTGGCGTGGACCACGTAGTTGCTACACCAAAATGGCGCCGTGCCACACTACAGGCGCAGCACGGACCGATGAGTTGGTGTGTACCACGTCACACACCCACGAAGCGTGTCGCGTATTTTGGTTGGCTGAAAGCCGTCACTCGAGATGTCGCGACCGTCGTCGATGGCCGAGTCCGAGGCGCAGGACGACGTCCGCCCGCAGCGACCCGAGTACGCCTGACACTGGTTGATTGGATACATTGCATGTGTGGCAGAGGTATGTGTCTGACTTTTGCATTGCAGACGCGTGCGTCCGCGTCGTCTGGAGCCCGATACGCTGTCGTATCTAAAAGAGGTGACCGAGATGTTGACGCAGTCTGGGGACGACTCGACGGTGGACGATACGGAGCTTCTGCTTTGGAACGTGCTGGAGGAGCTGGCGCCGCGAGCAGCCAGTGCTGCGTCCGACCGTCACGCAAGTGAACTAGTGGAGGTCTTCGTGCCCAAGATGAGCGACGCGCAGCTGCGGTTTCTACTGCACAAGATGGCGGGCTACATGAGCCACTTGTGGACCAACCGCTACTCTTCTCACGTGCTACAACACTTGCTGTCCCGTGTCAGTGCTGCTGTGGCGAAGGAGGTGGACGGTATGGTGAACAAAGAGGACGAGGACATGGACGAGGACGACCGGATGAAAGACATCCCGCTCTTGAGCGACGTTCTTGTTCACATGGTGAAAGAGGTACAGAATGAGTGGATCACGCTCATGAACGATGTGAGTGCGAGTCACGTGCTGCGTTCGGTATTGGCTGTGCTGGCTGGCAAACCGCTTGTGCCGGAGAAGCGAGGCAAGAAGGCGAAGCACCGTGTCATTACATTCACAGAAGCTCGACCTGGAAAGGATGGGTCTGGAGACAGCACGTATGACGTGCCAGATACGTTTGATGCGTTGTTCCAGGAGCTGCTGGCAACCTTGATCGAGAGCTCGACACACGAGCTACAGAGTCTGCTGTACGATCAGAACTCGGGCCCGCTCATCGCTTCAGCGTTGAAATTGGCACCTCCAAAGAGTCAGCGTAAACTCGCTGAGAAGATTCTCGAGTGGGAGGACAAGGACGCGTGCGAGCGTAATTTCTTCGACTTGGCGGCTGATGCTGTGACGAGTCACTTGCTCGAAGCTGTGTTTGAAAGTGCCAGTGATTCGTTTTTCAGAAAGTTGTTCAAGCGATGTGTGCGTGGCAAAATGGTGCAGCTGGGCGAACATAACGTTGCCAACTACGTGGTTCAACAAGTTATTAAGCTCGTGCGCACCGAGGCTTTGGCGACCGAAGTTCTGGAGGAATTGCAGACTTCGTTTTGGACGTTGCTGACCATGGGCAGGCCTGGCGTCATTTGGCGCGTGATGGAAATGTGTGTGACGTTCAAACTGCGCCAACAGGAGGTATTTGACGCGCTTGTGAGCGCAGTTGCAAAACAGGAGAGCAAGAAGCCCGAAGCTGTTCGCAAGAACTTTGTAGCGTCTCTGCTGAGCGTGCAGCTGTCAACATCGGCTACGTCTGCGAAGGTCCAGGTGAACGTGATGGGTGCTAAGATTATCGAGCAGCTGCATCAATTCGAGTCTGGAGACTATTTGACTCCGTTGTACAAGGGCATTCTTTCGTTTAACAGCATGCAGCTCATGGCTTTGGCCAAGGACTCGACTGGCAGCCGCTGCGTCATCGAACCCTTATGGGAATCCAAGGAACCTAGTACAGCATGGGTGCGGCAAGAACTGTATGAGCGTTTTGTGGGCAAGTTCGGTACACTGGCAATGGATCGTCTGGGTGCTTTTTCGGTCATGAAGTGCTACGAGGACCTGTCTCTGGACAAGAAAGAGGTAGTTGTGCGCGAGCTTTTGGCCGTGGAGACACAGCTCAGCGGGAGCCATTTTTCGCAGCTTGTCATGAACACTTGCCATTTGTTCGAGTACAAGCAGAGCCGCGAAAAGTGGGAGGCGCTTTATACGAAGCAGCAGAAGATTGCTGCGATGTTCAAAGATTTCGTACAGGAGGACGAGACACTCGAAAGCTCCAGAGAGCAGAAGAAGGAGAAGAAGGGGAAGAAGCGCAAAGCTGCTCAACTTACCGGAACGGAAGCTGCACAGCGTACGGAGGAGATTGCGAAGAGTGCGGACGTAGCTGTGATTATGGATGCGCTGCGGAGCGGTGCTGCGGGCAAGGACAAAAAGACCAAGAAGAGCAAGAAGAGCAAGAAGCAGCGTAGTGAGGAACGGTAATATGTACGCGTGCTAGCGCGGCGGTGCGATATAATAGACTTCGTTGTGTGTGCAGAGCTCGTTGTTACATCTTCTTTTGCAGTGCATCGGGTCGTGCCAAAGTGTTTACTTTGTGGTTGTTAACGATGTCCGACCACTTCACATCTTGCGTCTTGTGACAGCTCAAATAAACGTACCACGTCTCCTTCAAAGAAGAATCAGGTGCACCGACACTGGCCCCTTCGCAGGTCAACGGTGACTTGCAAAGATTTCACTTCGACATGCAGCAATTCTGTTGCTGTACGTGTACTCGCTCCTGTGGTCTCAGCATGTCACGACTGACGGCAATGCGATCATTGACCATTGTTGTGGCCCTCACAATGTGCCCATCCACGATGCAAAGAAGTGCTCTGCTTGAATGACCGAACGATGCGAAGCGCACAGATTCAACTGTCCTCGTTCTTCGACACTCTTTTGACCGACACCAGCGCCAGTACCATTACCGCTGCATGATGTGATCACGTTGGACCAATATGAAACCCACGCGGTCTTTGCCATCTCGCTCCACGTTCATAAGACCTGCACCCCAACACAACTTGTGGTACCTTCGTCCAGAAGCATAACCCTCGAGTGAAGATAGCTACTTGACCCAGAAAAACGTGTGAAGTGAGTCTGACTATCAAGCGAGCGATACATTTGGTACCAAAGGTCGACGAAACGTTTGTCGCCATTACACGAGCTGTTTCGTTGACATGCCTTCCCGCGTCAACCATATCCAAGGAACCAGTCGCCGAGTTAGTTACTTTCGACCGCACTGCCCGGTGAAAATCCCGGTACGAGAGCAGCAATGTCCTCGAATAGTGTCGGTCACGACACTATCACCTCGTCGCTACGATTTCGTTGCAGCAACGACTGTGTCCCGAATGAGCGCAGCGAACATGCACTATCTACTGAAGCTTCGACCACTGGAGATTCGTCGAGTGACGTACCTATCTCGCTTGACCACTCGCTCCAAAGCACTGCTGCAATGACCTTCTCATCGACGTTCCGCGGTCCCACAATGCAGGCGATGCAACAACATCTGCATTTCCATGTTGCTCGCGCAGGAAGCATCAGGAGTGAGCATACATTGCCTAGTGGCTAAACACGGACGCGACAGAATGACTCCGTCAGGGGCCTGGGGAACAGCATCAACCATTGTGGCCGACGGATCCCGGATACAATAGCCTTCGATCATAGAAAGTCAGCTGCCTTCGGGTACGAAGAGCTCGAGCAGAATGTCCTGCTAAGATGGGGTGTACCTCTCTACAGAGTCCGTACCTTTCGACAGTGTGTATCTGCCGCTACGAGAAACTTGTCGCTCTGGGCCTTTGGAGCGTGATAAAGCGAAGTCAAAGCGAGACTGGAAACCACCACACCCAAGTCGGATGTGAGCCGGTCGTTCAATTGATCTCAGTGCGACGCGGTCCTATGTACATGCAGCAGGAGGGAGGGGAGCTGCACAAAGGCTAGACGGTCGATAACGAGGAGGCGCCCGCGCGCGCGGTCTATCGATTGCGTGCGCATTGCCAGTGCGATAGCGCAGGTCGGAAGGATGCTGCCACGAAATGTGGCGTGGCCGCCGATGCAGCCTGTCGATCTACGAATGCGACGCCGAAGCGATTTGGTTTCCATTCGTTGGCTACGCGATCTGAGTGCAACGCGTGGTACTACAGCTCCATCCGATGATCAATGGGTACAGTTACACAGGACGGAGACCTCGACAACTTTGCGGAATGAACAGGTATCGGATGTTGTGTGCTATCCGTTATCCATAGATCCGAATAATCCCCATCGCTCCAAATAGTCCGATGGACCAAATAAAATCGGTCGATAGGAATCAAGCAGAACATGACCAAGCGAAAAGCGCCCAATACAAAACCGAAGACCACCCCGACGGTACTGCCGATCTTTAGAATGCTGTCCAGATATTTTGCCTCCGGATCCCGAGCAAACTCCGCGCGTGTCCGAAGGTGTGAGACACTGATCCTACTCTTTCCATGCGATTTGAGCTACTGTGGGAGCTTTCGTGGAAGCGCGCCACCGAGCGTGGCACTGCCTCCTTTCAAATGACAATGCCCGTCGCATAGCACGGACGAACTGAAGATAAACGATTGTAAGGCTCAGCCACTGTCGCCACAAACGACGGCCAAGACCCAGTCGATGGAAGCCGGCATCATCTCGGCACCGGAGCAACGTTACTGCCGTTGCGCTCGATTGCAATGGAAGTATCCACAGAGCCCACCAACTGATTGCCACGCACTGTTCGGTAGCCGCCCGGACCGAGATCTCGGCCACACCATTTTCATTTCTCCAACCAGAAAGGGCTGTTTGCTAAGCCTCCGAGCTCTTCAACGACAATGGACACGGAGAGAGGCACAGAGGGTTTGAAGAGGGCGGGGGGGCTAAAAGTGAGCTGGAGAAAGAGCTCGGAGACATGCTTAAAACAGCCGCGTGTCCGGAGTCCCGTGTCCGTAGTCCCGTGTCGATCTTCGAAGCTTCGTGACTACATCGACGAGAGTGAGAGTGTCGAGTCGAAGCTGACCAGAGACGAGGTTCTGGAAGAGATTGATGGCAGAAGAGGACGGAGAAGGTAGTGGGCTAGCTGAAAATGTGGGACGATTCGCAAAGAAGGCCATCGGGTCCGAATCTATTAACGCTCTACGTAATGTTTAGTCCCTCTCACGCTGCACACAAAAGTCACCGGCCTGCTCACAGCGTTCTCTGCACCCTTCCGCCTGATGCTCGCGACGCACACAGTAGCCATCCACCCTTATCCTTTGGTCCAAGAAGGTTCTCCCTACGAAACATATCACCCGTGACGGTAGTGTGCTCTACGCATATTCCTTTGCCATGCAAAGAGCCAGGGTTCAAGAAAAGCCCGTAAAGTTGAATAGCTCGTTCGGGCAATGACGTACAACACATAACTGCGGCTGTCGGACGAGGTCAGCGGGGGCCCAATTCGAGACCTTCCCGCAGACCTTCACTGCACACACCGATGTCTCATAAACCCCTGCGCCATGTTTACGCCAGTTGCGGTCGAGACTGTTGCATACGAGGGTTCGTCATGACGATGGGCCCTGTACACCTCATGCTGGTAATGTCGAGACCGCGAGCTTTAACCGCCGGTCCAACACACTGGCGTTCGTCATTCATCTGGTCGCCCCTCACCATCCGGCACAAACTACGGTCGCTAATGTCTGCAAAGAGGACAGGGATGGACACAGTGTTGCTGGACGCGACACCAGACGCAGTCGTTCGAACCGGACATTGGCAACTCGATTGCCGCACTCCACAAAGATGAGCAGTCGCCTCAAGATGCTCAGCGAAGCATCGGGGAATCTTCAAATCCTAGCCCCGGTTGCTGCCTGTCCGTTGAAGTCACGGAGAGGGCGAAGGGGTAATTCGCGAAGCAGACGCGATGCAGCGGAAGTGATCAAGTATTCACATGGTTCTGTTGCGATGACCGCGGCGTACTGCTTGCGTTGTTGTTGCTGCACGCGGACGATAAGCGCGTCGTGTGGTTATACGTAAAGCTAAAAAAGCTGCCGGCTGAGGCGCATAATGACAGAAAAAGCGTATGTATGCGTATGCTCTATGTCTCGTACTATCTCTGGGCGATGATCTTTTTCGGAGATGGAAGGTGCTCCAAAATGGGTCTTTTGAGAATAGATGCACTGCCAAATAGAGCCCAATTGGTGGGCACGACAGCTTACTGTTGTGTAACGGTGGACATTCTAGACGAAGACGTTCTAGAAGACGAGGCAGTACAAACAGAAAAGCCATCCGGTCTGAAACATCCTGGTCGATGTTCATGCCCGGCCTATGCACTGAATCCGCAACCGAGATCCGGACCCAAAGGATCGTCAACCACGTGCCCTGGAACGGACAGAGTCTCCGTTCGAAGTGGTTGATCAGCGCGCCCGCCCTTGGCTAGTAGCTCGCCCGCTGATTGCGACTCGATGACTTCACGAGTTGCAATCGATATTATGATCAATCAAATCGTACTGTAGGACAGTATCGCACAAGTCTCTCAAGTACGCTCTCTCGGAAGCCAGGTTTGTCGCCCGTCGTCGCTAGAATGATTTGTAAAGACACGACAAAGGCAACGCTGAAAGTCGGCTTGCTCGCAGTTCTCGAGGATGTATGCTCTTTTCCATGCAGGTTTTCGATATCGTGCGCCCACATGAGGCCGTGGCGGGTTTCGCGCGTGGCAGTGAGCACCACGAACAGTGTGACGGGATGGTCTTGCAGTGCAGTCGTAGAATCCTGGTGCGAGAGGACAGGTGGCGTATGTCTGGGTTCTTCGCAGCAAACAGCGAGTCCGATATTGATGCGCTGGGACATAAAGTACACGCGAACCATTGATGACCAAGAGCCTTGTCGGACACATTGATAGGTGTGCGTGCTGACGTACGAGAGCGATGTCCGACATCCCGTTGACCCCCATGAGAAACAGCGCAAAGGTTGGAAGATGACGTATCGATGGCACGAAGTTTTGAGCGACAGAAAAGATGGATCGATGTCATGGCAACTGCGGGCTGCGAGTGATGAGCTCCCGATGATACTCCAACGAGTGACTTTTGCCAAGTGGCGTGTGTTGACTCGGTGCACCGGCGTCTCTTTTCATCGGTTGCCGGTCCACAACACACTTCGCTGGCGCTTTCGTTACAATTGCACGACGTGTATCGGAACCACGCTGGTTGGTGTTGCTTGCGTGCGGAGGACCGGCAGAAGTGATGGGCTGCGTATGGCGGTGCGGCCACACGAAAATGTATCGACAAGCATGACTGTTGCTACTTGCGTCGACAGAACTTGGTCACTTCGGAATGGCCGTCCGTGTCGAGTGATGCAAACGCGCAATTTGGACCGATGACACTCGCGCCCTGCGAGCGCATCGTCCCCCTCGCTAAGAACTCGACACGTCCACTTCTGCGAGTCAGCCTCAGTTGCTTCGCCTCCTGGGAGTGCTGCCGGAACACACGCGTAAGCCTTCGTGATGGTATCTATTTTTTATGCTTAACGAGCCTGAGCGGCGCGGTCAGTCAAACGCTGTGGGACATTGTTTTGATTCAAGCTGTGATCGAGCTAGTTGACGTGAGATGCTCCGCGGATTGGTCGCCGATGGACCTTCACGCCGTACTCACGGCAACTCCGTAGCGTGGGAGGATCGTTGTGTATGCGTGCCTCTCATGCTACGCTTGATTGGGGGGAGATGCAAGTAACGAGAGCTGACCGGTCAGAAACTTGGCGAGTGACTTTGAAAGTCATTTGCGATCCATTGTAGCTTTATTCGACACGAGTCTTGATGCATCTGTCTTGATGGAACAACCAGCGACGATCAGGAATGAAGCGAAGCAAGAGACTAGTAACGAAAGTCCAGTTGCGTATGGCTGTCGCCAACTCGTGTCGTCGAGACTTATTTCAAGCGGCCGCACCATGAGAGATTAACACACAGAACGCCGCTCGCAGCTTTCAAATACTGCTGTATCGCACGCGGCTCGACAAGGTCATCGGCGCCGATGGAAAACCTGAAATGAACAACAGAGGTGCGAGTATCGATGCTTGCGACTCCAGCATCGTGCACGAAGAAACCAGCATCATCATCACGGACATTCATAGGGTCCGATCATGTTCTTAGCCGAAACCAAGGCCATCAGCGTTGCAGACTCATCCTTGCAGACATTGATTGGCACGTGCTGCAAGCTCTTGGCTACTAGCCGACACAGAGCGAGCTTGCTGTTACGGACTTGTATGAGCGGGATGCGCTCTTATGCTGACGTGTCGATGGCTTCCTACCCTCTTACTACAGACTGGTAGTCGATTGTGAGTAGATGACTACGGATGCGTAGCTGGTTGTGGCACCACACCGGCGCAGTGTATGGCACCAACATGGATTGTTACGCGATGGTTCCAGTCAGGCAGCACCAGTACGTCAAGTCGTGAGCAATCAGCGACCGGAACGATGCTGTTTGCAGACGTGCCAGTCCGTAATCCGTTGCGGTACAACTATGGATTGCGCGATGGCATATCGCATCTGACGAGCGTAATGTTGATGGCGCTCAGTTGATGCGTTCCGCAACACCGTAAAGAGATACTACCTTTGGTTCGGGGGAGATGCAAACGTAGAGCCGGAGTGCTAGTTTCGCTCAAATTGAAGAAGCGGAAGGGGTACGCATCTATCTTGGAGCACTAGCATTGCCACGGACGATCCGAGTGACGACATCACGACCATCAAGAGAACGACACGATGAGTGGCTGAAGCCCATCTGCTTCGAGACATCATTCGAATAAAGGTAATCCATGCAGCGTTGTACTTAAATCTCGGATTTGTTGAAGCTGCGTCGCCGTGTCTCAAGCGCCTGTAGCATCGATGCTGACGTCGAATGGCGATAAATGGGACTTCGTTCAATGCCGATTGTCCAAGAATGGTTGACTGACACTCATTGTGATCGGCAAGAAGCAAGGCACGATCAAAAGAGTGTCAAAAGCTTTGGGCCACGGAAGCGCCAACATGCTTTGATAGGTAGAGCTGAATATTGTCAAGACACAGTCACGTTGCGTGAATCTGGCGAAACGAATACACCTGTCATCAGGAGTTACTGAGCCGTGAATGTTACACCGCGGACGCAAGGCGTTATGTGGAGACTACTCAGATTCAGGCCGTTGCAGTGAAACAGCCTGAAGCTGAGTGGTAGAACAACGGTAAGAGATGTCGCTTCCTCCACTTCTTTTCGATTCAGGTCTCGGTTCGTTCAAACTAGTATCGGTAAGACGTTTTTGATTTCTTGTACTTCGTGCTAACATTCGTGTCGACATGTAGCTCAAGCAAGGCGTACGCAGATGATTCCGTGTCCATATCACCCTACCATTTTCGATTCTCGCGGGCTTCCATTTCTCCAGTGTGCTCGTCGCTCGGCACTGTGATACCTGGAGAGTGTGTCGTGAGTCATCTTGATTGTACACCAGCAAGCATTACTACTGCGCGATCTGTAGCCGCATAGCGCCGAATGCGCGGTTGTTCGTCGAGGAACGCGAGACACAAGGTAAGCTCAGTATACACTGAGACGCCACGAGCCTCTCGAAAATTCGCTTCAGTTCAATGCCAGCGCGCATGAAATCAAGTGGTCCTGCTACGCTCAGCTTCGAGCGAAGATGCAACGTGCTCGATTGGATGTCCAAGACCAACTCTAGACGCAGTATCTGCGAAATGAGCTGGAAGATTGTCAACACCGAGAGCGAATCGTCACTAGCGACGTCACCGGTGGTGGTGGTGGTGGCGTTGCTTACAGGTACGGCGAACTTGTCGCTGTTGGCACTGTAATCATCGCCAGCCTTCACAGCCGGTTGGCTAGGCTGCCACCATACCTCATCCACGTCCAGGATCCACTCGGTGTTCCAACTTCTCTCAATGAGGCTCAGTAGCCCATTCGAGCTGTCGCAAGCGTGACCGCGCTGACGTCTTGCAAGTGATCGAGGTGCCCGAGGGTATCCTGAGACACTGACGTACGTCTCTCGCATTTGTGCCACGAAAGCATTCCATCCTATGACATCTTGTCCGCTCAGGATCTGGCGCACTTGAGATCGTCGCGCATGGAAGTACGAGTTTGAGTAGACGGCTGCAATTACTTTTTTCCATAGCGGAGTGGACACTTTTGATGTGTCTTCCTCGGTCTAAAGGACCAATATATGCGTTATCGGTAATGCCCTGTTTTAACTGAGACATCAGCAAATTCATGTGGATTCGGAATAACTATGACGTGGACAGGTGGTCGTGGACACAATGACCTCTTCAGCCGTGCAATAGGAGGTCGTTTGACGCAGTCTGTAGCAGCGCTGGCACTCGGATCAGTCAGCGATAGTGCCGTGTGCACTCCAGTCTCGGATTTGTCACTGAAAAGACGTATTGTCTTTCTCCGCGGGCAAAAACTCCTAAAAGACGAGACCGTCCGAGGCCACAATCTAAAAATACAGTAGTATGCCCGGGACGCCCCCGCTTCTCCCTCTCGAGGTGTCCTCCGCGTCCTTCTTCCGTCTCGAGTGCAGCCATCCTCAGCTCTTCCAGTCCGAGTACAAGCGGTGCGAAAAGTGGCGTGCACTGCTGCGCACTTGTAGCGCATTGGCTCAGAGGAACCACATGTCAAAGAGAGTCAACTCTAACCATCAGAACCTTCGTTTTTGCTGTAGGAGCAATCGCACGAAGGGCCTCAAAATTCTCAGGTGAGACGACAGCGCTTTTGCAAGCTCGGCTGGAATGTTCCAGGGCCATATGAATTGCTAGCAGGGACTGATCACATTCGCTGTTTGTTCGTAAAGGTGCTTCCCACACTGCTGCCCTGAGCATATTGACCGCAGCTACTGCGGCACTTCTTTGAGTGTACGCGTAGATTTATCGGTATCTCCATCTGCCGCGTCGGCAGAGCCGCTGCCTTGTGAGAACATAGCTGTCTTTGCACGCTTCGAGGCTGTGAATGACGTAAGTCTCCGACCTAGCGAGTGCGTCGAGGTTGAAACGATGGTGGCTGGGACGCAATCCGAAGACAATTTGGAAGGCCAGTGGGTCGAGGGAATACGTGATCGTCCGTCTGGACTGGTGACCACCCTTCGTGCTCCAGGCACGTCATCTGATGAACAGATTTTGCTCGTGTTCCATTTGAATGGCAAACCGTTTTCCCGCTGGTATTACGACTGGGAGAGCGGCGCCAACAAGGCTCAGCGATTGATGAAACATGTCCTGAAGGCTTACGTCTTTGAGCACTGTGCTGTTGATGCGAACGACGACTTTGTAAGCTTTACGAGCCGCCAAGCTTATAAACAGCTCTATCGAGTGCTTCACGTCGTGTCGTCACCAGAATTCACCGTCATTTCATACCGTCGTGCACCTTCCGATCCCTACCATACCGCGCTCTTGCCGCCACATTCGATACCGGGGGATGAAATGCTGACGCATGAAGATACGCGACTTTCGCACACTTCAATGGCTGTCAAGGTAGAGCCTTCACTCGCACAGACAGACCAGGTAACACTAGAGCGCTCGCCGGAGGTTCCAGCCCAACTTTCGCCATCGACGGGCGTATATGGACAGAACAGCGCAGCTTTTCGTTTGGAGTACTCACATGTGGTCATCATGTCAGTGGCAAAAAATCTTGCACTAGCCTACTCTTTTGCCCGTTGGTTGCCAGTGAGCGCGTACTCCCCAATTTTCGACGAGCTTGTTGAAGTGGCTAAACACAGCTTTCAAGAAGCATTTGTGGAAGTTCCCGGCAATTTGGGTAAGCTCAACAATCTCATGCAGCTTCTGTATGAACACATCCAAAGCCAAAAAGAAAATGTGCTACATTGGACGAAGGTTTCTCAACAGTTTGAAACATTGCTACTAGTGCTGGCGCAGGGTCTAAAGTGGATGTTCTCGAAAGAAACACGGACATGGATTCATACTTTCCTCCGTCAGAATGCCCGCTCGCTTCTCGACAAACGCGCTTTGCGTGCATGTTTTGTGATCTTCATTCACAAACTACAAGATCGCCTCGAGAAGCAAGTACTTGTCCACACAAAGCTGCGTTCTCTTGAAAACGTTGCCGACGAAGTCATCGCAGTCGTCTACTCAAACTCGTACTTCCATGCGCGACGATCTCAAGTGCGCCAGATCCTGAGCGGACAAGATGTCATAGGATGGAATGCTTTCGTGGCACAAATGCGAGAGACATACGTCAGTGTCTCAGGATACCCTCGGGCACCTCGATCACTTGCAAGACGTCAGCGCGGTCACGCTTGCGACAGCTCGAATGGGCTACTGAGCCTCATTGAGAGAAGTTGGAACACCGAGTGGATCCTGGACGTGGATGAGGTATGGTGGCAGCCTAGCCAACCGGCTGTGAAGGCTGGCGATGATTACAGTGCCAACAGCGACAAGTTCGCCGTACCTGTAAACAACGCCGCCACCACCACCACCACCGATGACGTCGCTAGTGACGATTCGCTCTCGGTGTTGACAATCTTCCAGCTCATTTCGCAGATACTGCGTCTAGAGTTGGTCTTGGACATCCAATCGAGCACGTTGCATCTTCGCTCGAAGCTGAGCGTAGCAGGACCACTTGATTTCATGCGCGTAGTCTTGGACGGAAAAGAACGCACGTTTTCGCAGTTTCCAAATGGAGTGGCGTCAGCCATCAATCCTGGCGCACATGGAGACTACGTCGGCGAGATGCGGGTTGAAGGACCCGATCGACTCGTGGCGTATCTGCAGATTTTTAGCTGGTCTGTGTCAGGCGATGACTCATCCTACAACATTTGTGCGCGGATCGAATGCTGGCACAGCCGTCGACTGTGCATTAGTGGTGACGTTTTAGCAACCACTCTGTCTGGGGCTCTCGAAGATGGTGGTGGGGCAGCATTCTTTGGCGAAATGCCTTTGTGGAAGAAGCAAGAGGCCGTTCTCAGAGCCCATGAAGCCAGTCTACTGAAAGATAGTTCAAGCGTAGGACCATGGAGAGAATTAGGCAAGTTTCGTTTGAGTTACGCGACGATGTAGGCTGTTGCGAACCAGATGCGGGAGCTAAAACGACAATTGCAAACTTAGGGAACGTGGAAAATCTGTGCATCAGCTACAATATGCTCTCTTTGCAATCGACAACTCACAGTCTAGTTCTAAAGATGCTTGCGATTCGTACATTCGGACATAACCACGACGATTTCTAATCGACACTATCGCGGCGGCCAACCTGTAGTCTAGCTAGGTGTCGATGCGGTGACGATATGGTAAAACCAATGAGACTTTTGTCAACAAATTACCATTCATCATTCGTTACCTTTCAGGTCAGTTCAGTTCAGTGCTTTCACGGCGTCAAATTGGTTCCAACACTTCGAGCAAATTATTGATGCTCCATCTCTCATTTTGTTTGGGTTCCAATATGTTGCGAAACAAGCACTAGATCTCCTTGTGCTATGGGTTTTACCTCAGCGTCGTCTTGGTGAAACGAAGACCTGTAATTGGTGCAAAATGTAAGCTCACTTCCACGCGGCCAAGTCGAATGCTCATAATCATACCACGCATTTTTACGAGTAAAATATAACTGGACATATGGATGTCTGTATGTCTGCATGTCTATATGTCTGTATGTCTGTATGTCTGTATGTATGTATGTATGTATGTATGTATGTATGTATGTATGTATGTATGTATGTATGTATGTATGTATGTATGTATGTATGTATGTATGTATGTATGTATGTATGTATGTATGTATGTATGTATGTATGTATGTATGTATGTATGTATGTATGTATGTATGTCTGTATGTCTGTATGTATGTATGTATGTCTGTATGTCTGTATGTATATATGTATGTCTGTATGTATGTATGTATGTATGTATGGCATGTGAACGCATTACGCGAGCCGTCGTGCCACCAAAGTGGCTCAACTTCTGCATGCGTCGGGTTATCTCTCCTTCGCTTCATTTCTCTCTACTATCGCCAGGGTCCATGAAGCGGCGCGCTCTATAAGCCCCGCGCTGAAATTCCAGTCTGCACGATCCTGTGCACAATGGCAAAGGAAGTACAGGTCTGGGGCCAGTCGACGGCGGTGTTCAGCGGTAGATTTCTTGCTTCGATCCCTTCTTGGATGTCTACCTTGTCAACAGGTCCCAGGGAGGGTCCCTGTTGCTTGCACGGGAAACAAAGGATGACGCGAGCGTACCTAAGCGGAGATGCCGGGGCGTCCGGCGTGGCTGGCGGCTGGGAGGAGAGCGGCTAGAGAGAGATGTGTAGAGGAAGAGGAATCCGTCCAAAACTGACGGATGCCGCGAAGCTCCCGTCGGAGGTCTGAGCAAGCAGCAGATAGCCCAAGCCTTCCGGGAGAGCGTTACCCCTACACGACAAGGATTTCATCGACATTGTTTTTGCATACCGTCATTTAAGGCGCCTCGACTTGAATAGTCATCGCTTGTCATCATTCCGCAGCTGCCCACGTAACGCATCTTACACAAAAAAACAGGGCATTCGTGATGCCCCACTCCTATTCCGCCAAATGCATTGATGCTCCGGTCGCCAGGATCTCGTATATCTTGCCGGCCAGCATGGTTTCTTTTGCAATAGGTTTGTCGACACAGCCACTCCCGCGCGCATCATTCACTTGTGAAAAAGAAGAAGGGTCACACGGCATCAATAGTATCGTGCTGCTGCAGTCGAGACAAAGCACTCCAGCTGTCCATTCGAGACACACAACACAACACAACACTCTTGTCGTCACAATGTGCAGCTGCACCACGGACAGATGAACGTTTGTGGATGAGGTGCGGCCAGCCATGCAACAGATCAACCGACCAGTCCGTCGCAAGTGAGCAGACAACCGTTCGTCATGTCCATTCGTCTCCGATTCGACTGCTTCAGTCGGCAAGTCACGATGATCGTTCTTTCCTGCTCGACTCTCGCAATGACAAGGGAACGGTTGTGACCACGCGTTTCTGTTCCGTTTGTTCCGTGTGTTTGTATTCACCCGTAGGATGGTAGTGCAATCAAACAAATCATCGTCATCTGCGGCTACTCGAGCCTATTCGATTCGTCATTTGATGCTCAGATACTGTGAGTGGATCGATATCGTTCCATGATCAGACACTGTGCTTAGATTGAGATTGTTCCATGCAAAGATACTGTGCACGGATCGAGATCGCTCCATGTCCTTCGTTGCAGATGATTGCGCCCGAAAGTCACGGAAGCACCGCTGAAATCGAATTGTTTACCACCGAAGGCAAGCATAATCGTACCGCGGACGAAGAAGATTTGCGGTTGCACGTCGTATCTGGCATGTCTTGTTTCCAGTCGTTCAACTACGAGCCATCCACTCGGTCATACCGTTGCCCCGCGCGCGTGGATATTGTCTTCTCTCGCTGATCGAACGGATTCGACCATGTGTATACGACGTTTTTCGAACGCTGGTCTCGAACCGAACTACTCGTGTACACACAGCCGCGATGCGACACCGACACGGGGCAACAAGCCATTTAACGCAGCACAATCGTGCTTTTACAGGATACGATGAGGACAGACTGCTGACACGACGCAGCAGACAAATCTGCCTTTGGGAAACTTGACGCGAACTTGACAGATCAAGAGGGCGACGATTGATCGAGAGGTACTGTGTGTGCTTTATGTACAATAATAACAGCCCGTCTATGTCCATGCCAAGGATCGCAAGACGCGAAAATTCGATAATTCGCGCCATTTTCGTCACGTTCGGCGGTCTGGCACTGCAACGGAAATGACTGTCTGCAGCCACTCGAACCAATTCGATTCGTCAGTTGATGCAAAGATACTGTGCTCGGATCGAGATCGCTCCATGTCCTTCGTTGCAGATGATCGCGCCCGACAGTCATGGAAGCACCGCTGAATATGATTGTTTACCACGCAAATGAAGCAAACTAATCATACCGCAAACATTACTTCGATGTTGACGTCATTCCCGTCCATTTCAGCCGGCAACTACTTTCCATGACCCTCGATCTTTCAACGAGGCAACTTGTCCACTCGCCATTCCTTCCAGCCTGTGTTCGGTGACGTAGTCGATTGCGCAATCACGTAGATATACCAACTAGTCGGTCGCATTCCACACACACATACACATCTGATGGTAATATTGACGTCAGAGAGCCAGAAGCAGCGCTCGAGAGTCACGAACATCGTCGTCGCGTTTGCGTCTCAACAAGCTGTACCCTCACGGTCCATTGACGAGCCCATTGTTGACCAGACGCATGATGCTCCGGTCGCCAGGATCTCGTATATTCTGCCGGCCAGCATGGTTTCTTTTGCAACAGGTTTGTCGACACAGCTACTCCCGCGCGCATCATTCACTTGTCAAAAAGAAGAAGGGTCACACGGCATCAATAGTATCGTGCTGCTGCAGTCGAGACAAAGCACTCCAGCTGTCCATTCGAGACACACAACACAACACAACACAACATCTTGTCGTCACAATGTGCAGCTGCACCACGGACAGATGAACGTTTGTGGATGAGGTGCGGCCAGCCATGCAACAGATCAACCGACCAGTCCGTCGCAAGTGAGCAGACAACCGTTCGTCATGTCCATTCGTCTCCGATTCGACTGCTTCAGTCGGCAAGTCACGATGATCGTTCTTTCCTGCTCGACTCTCGCAATGACAAGAGAACGGTTGTGACCACACGTTTCTGTTCCGTTTGTTCCGTGTGTTTGTATTCACCCGTAGGATGGTAGTGCAATCAAACAAATCATCGTCATCTGCGGCTACTCGAGCCTATTCGATTCGTCATTTGATGCTCAGATACTGTGAGTGGATCGATATCGTTCCATGATCAGACACTGTGCTTAGATTGAGATTGTTCCATGCAAAGATACTGTGCACGGATCGACGATCGCTCCATGTCCTTCGTTGCAGATGATTGCGCCCGAAAGTCACGGAAGCACCGCTGAAATCGAATTGTTTACCACCGAAGGCAAGCATAATCGTACCGCGGACGAAGAAGATTTGCGGTTGCACGTCGTATCTGGCATGTCTTGTTTCCAGTCGTTCAACTACGAGCCATCCACTCGGTCATACCGTTGCCCCGCGCGCGTGGATATTGTCTTCTCTCGCTGATCGAACGGATTCGACCATGTGTATACGACGTTTTTCGAACGCTGGTCTCGAACCGAACTACTCGTGTACACACAGCCGCGATGCGACACCGACACGGGGCAACAAGCCATTTAACGCAGCACAATCGTGCTTTTACAGGATACGATGAGGACAGACTGCTGACACGACGCAGCAGACAAATCTGCCTTTGGGAAACTTGACGCGAACTTGACAGATCAAGAGGGCGACGATTGATCGAGAGGTACTTCTGTGTGTGCTTTACGTACAATAATAACAGCCCGTCTATGTCCATGCCAAGGATCGCAAGACGCGAAAATTCGATAATTCGCGCCATTTTCGTCACGTTCGGCGGTCTGGCACTGCAACGGAAATGACTGTCTGCAGCCACTCGAACCAATTCGATTCGTCAGTTGATGCAAAGATACTGTGCTCGGATCGAGATCGCTCCATGTCCTTCGTTGCAGATGATCGCGCCCGACAGTCATGGAAGCACCGCTGAATATGATTGTTTACCACGCAAATGAAGCAAACTAATCATACCGCAAACATTACTTCGATGTTGACGTCATTCCCGTCCATTTCAGCCGGCAACTACTTTCCATGACCCTCGATCTTTCAACGAGGCAACTTGTCCACTCGCCATTCCTTCCAGCCTGTGTTCGGTGACGTAGTCGATTGCGCAATCACGTAGATATACCAACTAGTCGGTCGCATTCCACACACGCACATACACATCTGATGGTAATATTGACGTCAGAGAGCCAGAAGCAGCGCTCGAGAGTCACGAACATCGTCGTCGCGTTTGCGTCTCAACAAGCTGTACCCTCACGGTCCATTGACGAGCCCATTGTTGACCAGACGCATGATGCTCCGGTCGCCAGGATCTCGTATATTCTGCTGGCCAGCATGGTTTCTTTTGCA